CCAAATTCAAAACTTGCACCGATGTGAGGCTTAAGTTGTGAACAAAGGAATCTGGCGTGATTCGTGACTTTTGAATCACGCCAGATTACTTTGAGTCACGCCAGATCCCTTTGTTCACAACTTAAGCTTCACATTGGTGCGAGTTTTGAATTTGGTCTATTTAAAAATGAACGGTCCCTTACCAACTCACAKATTAGCTTCACGTCTTGACGTAACTTTTAAAGAAGAAATAATACTCAAGGGATTGATATTTGTGATTTATAAAATACTCAAGGGAGTGGCATATTTACAATGGAAAATATTACTATAAATGAGAAAWCACTCGTAAGGAATAATACTCAGTAGAATTATTCGTGACCAGACAATCTTCAGAATGTCATCATTGCTTCGTTGAGTAAAAGTATTTTGCACTCGATTTGAAAGAATACGCGGAGCGTCTTGGGGAGACAGGGCAAAAAACCGACAAGCCCTCTACTTTTACGATATTTAACAGAGGTTAATGCTCCAAGTTTTTAAGCGTTTTATTTGTGTCACTGCTGCTCAAAACTTGGGACCAAATTTTTATAGAATTATTAGAGTTAATGTTCTTAGTATTCACGAATATGCCAGTTTTTCTGCTGATCAAAACATCACCTCTCCCAAAGTACACAGCTTTATATCTCAAATACGCRTTCAATAAATTTTGGTTGCWTTGGATATTTTGCTATTTGGCTCCAAAATAACATGTTTACAAAATATTGAGCTTAAATACGTAAAGCTGTCCTTATGGCGAAAGGCCAAAAACCGTTTTTCTGCCCTGTCTCTTGTTGAACGATGAGCAAGATTTCCATGGCATCTCATAGACACGTGCCCTTAAAACCTTTTAACCTGGAAATCTCATGGTTATACTTTGATTGACGTCTGCTAAACCATACTTTATTTTGACGAACGACCCTCCGCTTTGGGTGCAAAATTCCCGTTGGTCAACTGAATATATTATATAAGAATGACCAGGAAATAATATTAGAATATTTTTGAAATCAATTGCCGATGTTTATACTGATAGGCACCTTGGGTATTTAAAGTGAACCATCTTTATTATCTATCAAATAGGTTAAGTGTAGTCATAACCTGTCTGTCTGTCCATCCCTACTTCTGTCTGTCCATCCCGCSATCTGTCTGTCTGTCTGTCTGTCCATCCGTCTGTTTGTTTGACATTTTCGTTCAACAGCACTTCTTTTTATTAGTTTTTCACACATAGTATGGCTTATTCCTGCAACTGAGTAAGAGTGTCTGTCTGTCTGTCTGTCCGTCTTTCAGTCAGTTTGTCTCTCTGTCAGTGTGTGTCTGTCTGTCTGTCCGTCTTTCAGTCAGTTTTTCTCTCTGTCAGTGTGTGCCTGTCAATGTGTCTGTCTATCTGTCAATCCTTCTAAACTGTTTGTCGGTCTGTCTGTCTGTCTGTCTGTCTATATGTTAATTGCATATTTTTTGACTGCATGAGTTAATTTTTATTTGACGTTTTTCACCATAGTTTTTAGATTGATACTATGTTGAGATGTTCTCTCTGGAAGAGTTTATCTCTTTTTGTCCATTGTCTGTCTGTCTGTCCATTAGTATAATTATCTTCCGCATAATCAATAATGAACTAATTCCTTCAAATACAAAATACCATATTTTTAATCAATATTTACTTCTCTGTTGAATGCCATTAACAATGCCTGAGCCCGCAATATTTCTGGACTCCGCAAGGCGAAAATGTTTTTAATTACAAATATAAACACAATTATGATTGGCTAAATCAACAATACTTAGTCTGTAACAGTTGCTTGAAAAAAACATATCTACATGTTATTTTTTGAGCGTGCGGAGTAAGAAATAAGGGCGTTGAAAAACAAGATTGAAGGTATGGTTTGAATAGCTAAAAACACTGCGCTTTCGCTGCTGCTGGATCACTAATATATTCTAGAATATTTAATTAACACGGGGGCAAAAGTTGCAAAAGCTTGCTCCACATYTTTCATAATGATGGGGTTTTGAAGTGAAACCTCCCCATGATCCTTTACGGGACGTGTTCTTGCCCAGTCTTCCTTCTTTAAATGTCACAAACTAATAAAAAAGATGTTAACAATTTTTCTTCAGAATTTCAATCTTTCAAGATTCAAACACATATTTAAGAGAGTTTGTGCAGAGTGTGTAAAATATAACACAAGCTCATTCTCTTAAGAATTCTTTGTTAACCTTGCAATGATGGATAATTTTCAATTAAACACTGATTATTTATTACAAAGGAGTTTTTACTTTTGATTATTTTGTTAAGAGAAATTTAATGCATGAAATTTCTTTTTACCTAAACCTTCCTTGATCATGATTATTTTCTTTTTTTCATCCTTCCTTCCCTAACAGAGCTGAAAAAAGACCTGCTTCCTATGCAAAATACCTATAGTTTCAAAAAAATAAACCCCTTGCATGTTATGTCAAAGCTGCTCAATTTGGAGCACAAAACAAGAGAATTTCAATCTCATGAGAATTGGAAATTGTTTTGCCCTCCACATCGAGCTGTATTCCGACGTGCTGCAAGGGGTCTATTCTGAAAATCAGCTACAAAAGTGCAGAAGATAATCTTATTTCTTCAAGTGAAAAATAATGTGTATTTCAATCTATTAACCAATGCCTAAGGTTTGTTTTTATTGGATGCACAACTTTTCAAATGTTTTCCCCCCCTGAAAACCTCGACCAATTTTCGTGTTAGATTCTTTATATGCGAACTTTTTGAGCCGCCATGTTTGTTTTCTTGAACAATTTGGCGCATGCGCATAGTTTTTCAGCCCTGTCCCCTTAATTCCCATCCATTCCCCCCCACCCCCCACCCCCCCCGAAAAAAAACCCCTTGCCCTTGCTTTTACCCTACCCTCCTTCCTTCCTTGCTTGATCTGTCTCTCTTCACTTCCTGTTAGCCATTCTGAGGTTGGAGGAAAACTGTCGGCATTGTAATGTATTTTGGGGCTGTTTTTAGGGGACCTTTTCAAAATGGCGTCTATTTTCAGCGGTCTCATATATGAGGAATAATTAGCATATTAGTCACTTTTCTTCAAACCTGCAGCCGGCTCGGAAAGCTAAATAACCGGCCACAAGTCTCTTGGTGTCTACTTATTCAATGCCTTCTCCTTCATATTGCCCTCGTTATGTTTATGCAAAGCTAACAGGTTAGTCAGAACTTTTCAAAACGCATTTTTTGCATTGTGGCTGACTGCCGATAGCTATGAAATTCCAGCACTTCAATTTCGAAAATAGTTCTGTACATTTGAGTTATTTCGTGGCCTGCAGAGCAGACATGATCAATACTAGCTGTAAATTTGTCTCAATATTGCCCTGGCTAGCTAGTTCTCGCATGGTTTACGGCTTCCTCGTCCATTCTAGGTCTACTGCAACCTCGTGTTTTTGTCTTCTGGTTGTGCAATGTTCAATATTCTAATTTCGAAGCTTGCCTATTTAATTTCGTCACAGCTCATTTAGTCCAGCTGGCAGAAGAATTGTTCGTTCGTAAGATGCGCTATGGGGAAGGGGCCGTTTTAAAGGTTTGGTAATATTGCCTTCAGTTTCCATTTCAAATCATCAATGATTTAATGTAGTAGCCAGTTTAGTGCAGTTAGTAACTTATAATCATTCGAGTAGAAATTCTAGCTGCTTTACAATCGTTTATGCACTCAGGCACCAAAAAACCAAACATACTTTCCCACCACCACCCACTCGGGTGGGTTCACCCAACTTCTGCTTTACTATAGGGACCGCAGAGCATATTGAAAAGTGAGGGGGGGCTGGCATTTGAAAATTAAGCATATTGAAAAAAGAAAAATAGCTATAAAAATATAGTAAACGTTTATTTATATTCGTATTTTTGGCGCAAAAAGCCCCTCTCCTACGCGGTCCCTGTACTAGTGATTTTATCCCATTACATTCCTTTATAAACCATACAAAGGAACCTTGTTTGGGTTCAGACAGTATTAGACATATTTGATTGGCTTAGACTTACGTCATAGCTCGCATACAACGATTCTATTGTTCGAAAATGACCTGGGTGTTACCTACAGGGCGCAGCCCCAAACCAACCAGACTGTAAACTATATAACATTCAAGACTGAGGTCGAAGAGACTAGGTAGATGATTTTAGAGCTTAGAGAAATTGGTGTCGCTGTTAAATTTAAGGCTAACTGAAGGTATAGTTAGTGAGTAGAGTACTTGCTAAAGGTAAGGATTTAGAGGGTTCTAAAAAGTTTTCTAGTTTTATAGCGAGCGCTAGACTATATTTTTGTTGTCTAGTTCTTGCATCATTGTGTTTCACTTTCGTTTTCGTGTAGGATAAAGTCTAATTTCCCTCTTCTACCAATAAATAAGCATAAGTTCAAGTTCCAATAAACTAACTATGCCTGTACATGAACGATATATGGTGTATTTTGAAGTCAGGTTTGTCTGTAGCAATTGCAAAATTCGAAGTTGTAGAGATAGCTGACTGACTTTGTTACGGCTGGTACGCTGCGACTGTCGAAGAGCTAATTGTCACGAACTAAACGACTTGTGGCGGCGAATGCGGCGGGTATATTTTACTGATCGACTAGGTCAACGGAGATCACGGAGAACGGATAGTTGGCGGTGATTTTATTGACAATAATCAAACGTAAACTGAAATACAATGTAGCGTAGCAAGATTGTTATGAAGAGTTCATTACAATTATATTTTTACATGGACAGATAGTCATATTATATGCATTCCAATCATATTTGCGGCCTTACAGCATTTACTGTATAAACTACCAAAAACGCACGTCAAATAAGGCGCAGAAAATCATGGACTCTCAATATGAGAAATATAACTAAATGAACAAGTATAATAAATCTAGATCACATCTCAAGATATAATATACATAGCTAGACTAAAGGACACGAGATGCGGTATTACCACGTGGAACTAGGAGGCGTTGTACCGCGCTGGGATAGCAGGACAAACTTGTGGGAAAATGTCTAGGTAATCTAAAGACGTGTAGAACTAAAAACAAACTAGAGATAATACTTACATATCGGTTCCCGCTTGTCTCTAACAACCAAGGGCAACTCAAGATTCTAGCTAGCCAAGCAAACTATGCATACACGCGTATCAAAGACGGACTCTAAAGCCTGGTTCACACGAGCAACGCAAACGCAAACGCAAGCGCAAACGCAAACGCAAGCAATGTTCACACGTACAACGCAAATGCAAGTAAATTAAGATACGCATGCGCAGTAGTGCTTGTTTATAGTTCACACGTATTTTCCTTGCGTTTGCGTTTTCTCCGGTTCACACGTTAAAAACGCAAACGCAAACGCAAACGCAAGCACAAGAAAATGGAAAATTTTCCATTCCTTGCGTTTGCGTTTGCGTTTGCGTTTGCGTTTGCGTTTGCGTTACTGTAGTTCATGTCGTGATCATTGATTCATTGCGTGACTCGGTAACGCAATCATTGTAATCATGTATGTAATAGAGTGATTTGTCTAATAAACACAGTTGAATCTAGAGTCAGGACTGAACATAACATGGTGTCAGAAGTCTAAATGGAAAGCCTAAGACCTCCAAAACCTCTGTCCTTTGACGGGAATGTTTCAGAAAACTGGAGACGGTGGATACAGCAATTTCGACTGTATCTAAATGCCACCGGACGAGATGAGAAACCAGAAGCAATACGATGTTCCACCCTGCTTACAGTAGCCGGTGAAGATGCCGTAGAGATCTTTAATACTTTTGTATTCAGCAAGGAAGAAACAAACAAAATTGAACCGTTGATTAAGAAATTTGAACAATATTGCACGCCAAAGAAGAACGTAACTTTTGAAAGACACGTTTTCAACACTAGAAACCAAGGTCCAGCAGAAAGTATTGACATGTACGTAACGGATTTAAAGAAGTTAGCGAGGTTGTGTGAATTTGGCGTTTTACACGATTCCCTAATCAAAGACCGCATAGTGTGCGGTATTCAAAATGCAGAAGTTAAAGCAAGATTACTAAGAGAGGAGGACTTGACACTTGACAAAGCGTTAACCATGTGTCGCACGGCAGAACTAAGTATGACACAACTAAAAAACATCGTCGAAGGAGGACAAGAGCATGTAGCCTCGATTTACAAGAAACCCACCAACACCGATAGAAAACAACAGCAGGACAAGGAAAAAGAGCTATCTGCGAATAACTGTTTAAAATGTGGATCAAGGCACGCGCCACGAAAATGCTTTGCCTTTGGCAAGACGTGCCGAAATTGCAACAAGCCTAATCATTTTGCGAAAATGTGTCGACTGAACAGAAACTCCAATGGTGGGATAAATGCCATTGCACAAGAATCAGAAGAATCGGACAATGAAGGATTCTTTGTGGGTGCGGTCGATGACATACAACAGACACACAAAAATGGATGGAATGTCGAAACGGAAACCAAGCTGTACAATCAGTTGAGTAAAGAAAAACCCATCAAGTCAACCACAAAGTTACTATCATATTCGGGACATAAAATGAAAACTCTTGGAAAAAATACACTGGTCGTGTCATTTAAAAAAAAGCTTCACCCTGTTGAATTTCAGATCGTTGAGCATGATGGAGCAGTGCCCGTACTCGGACTGAACACTTGTCTAGAAATGGAGTTGATCAAACGTGTCTATACAGTAAACACAGAGCCAAAGGAGTATGATGAGAGTAAAGGAAAGAACTGTACACAAGCGACGCAAGCAGATAAAATTGTGGAAGAATTTGATGATGTATTTAAGGGCCTTGGGTGTTTTGATGGGCATTACCATATCAAAATTGATGAATCTGTCACGCCTGTCATACACCCGCCCCGCAAAGTCCCCTTCGCTTTGAAAGATCGACTCAAAACAGAGCTTGAAAGAATGGAGACGCTTGGTGTCATCACCAAGGTCACGGAACCGACTGAATGGGTGAATTCCATCGTTGTGACAGAAAAGAAAAATGGCAAAGTTTGTGTATGTTTGGACCCGAGAGACATGAATAAAGCTGTACAACGAGAGCACTACCCCATGAAAACAGTGGAAGAAGTCGCAACCCAATTAAGCGGAACAACAGTTTTCAGTACTTTAGACGCCTCCTCAGGATTTTGGCATGTGAAACTAGATGACACGAGCTCCAAACTAACTACATTTAACACTCCGTATGGACACTACAGGTTCTTACGGATGCCATTTGGAATCAATTCGAGTAGTGAAGTGTTTCAGCGTAGAATGACACAATCGTTCGAGGATATTGAAGGAGCAGAATCGATTGTTGATGACATTTTAATATGGGGAAAAGATGAAGCAGAACACAACCAACGTTTGCGACGAGTACTACAAAGAGCCAAGGACATTAACCTTAAACTAAACGCAGAAAAATCAAAGATACAGACAAGTGAAGTCACTTATATGGGACATATAATTAGTAAAGATGGATTGAAACCCGACCCTTCAAAAATCCAAGCAATTAAAGACATTGAAACACCGAGACATAAGAAAGATCTTTTACGCTTCATGGGAATGGTAAATTATCTCGGCAAATTCATTCCCAACTTGACAGAAAAAACTCAACCATTAAGAGAACTATTGAAGAAAGAAATTGAATGGCACTGGACAAACTTGCATGACGCTGCATTTAATCAAGTAAAGGAAAGCTTAATCTCAGACAAAGTACTCAAGTATTACGATGTGACTAAACCGGTTACCATTTCGGTAGATTCATCGTCTTATGGACTTGGTGCATGTCTCTTGCAAGAGGGACAGCCCATATCATATGCATCAAGATCCCTCAGCACATCGGAAAAGAATTATGCACAGATTGAAAAGGAACTTTTGGCAATCCATTTTGGATGCCAGAAATATCACCAATTTATCTACGGGAAACCAGTGACAGTTGAAACTGACCACAAGCCGCTTGAATATTTGTTCAAGAAACCGCTAATCACAGCACCGCCACGTTTACAACGAATGATGTTGAGTCTTCAAAAATACGAATTGTATGTTAATTACAAACCAGGAAAGACACTGTTTATTGCCGACACGTTAAGCAGAGCGCCAGGAGCGCAAACTAACAGTCCTGAACAGGATGAAAGATTTTATGTTCACACGATACAAAATTTGCCCATAACTTCAGCCAAAATAGAAGAGTTCAAGACGGAAACCGACAAAGACGCAGCTTTACAGGGCCTAAAGCAAATTTTAAAAAGAGGATGGCCTGAGGACAAAGGGTCCGTTGACCCGGTAATCCGCGAATATTGGTCTGTTCGATATGAAATCAGCGAACAAGAAGGACTGTTACTAAGAGGAGAAAGACTTATTGTACCATATACACTGAGAGCTGAAATGCTAAAGAAATTACACGAAAGTCACTTAGGAGTTGAGAAGTGTAAGCGACGGGCGCGCGACATATTATATTGGCCAGGGATGAACGATCAAATCACACAAATTGTGTCCAACTGTGAAACATGTGCAATGTACAGGAACGCACAGCAGAAAGAGCCAATGAAAGGGCACGATATTCCCGACCGACCATGGCAGAAAGTTAGTATGGATATAATGGAACTAGATAAAGAACAGTATATAGTCATAACAGATTATTACTCCAAATATTTTGAATTGTCACAGCTGCCCAGCACTACTGCCATGACAACAGTGAAATATATTAAGCCACATTTCGCGCGTCACGGAATACCTGAAGAAGTTATCTCAGATAACGGTCCACAATTTAGTAGTAAAGAGTTCCAAGATTTCGCTAGAAACTATGGATTCAAGCATACCACATCATCACAGCGATATCCCCAATYTAACGGACTGGCAGAGCGAACTGTTCAGACAGTAAAGAATGTGTTAAAGAAAGCGAAACAAGATAAGAGAGATCCAAGCCTAGCTCTGTTAGATTTACGAAACACGCCACTTGATGGAGTTGGAAAATCACCAGTACAAATCCTGATGGGGAGACGAACGAGAACACGATTGCCAACACACAAAAAGCTGCTCAAACCATTGTATGACACGGAGAAGGTTAAAACATCATTGGAGCTGAAGCAAGATCGACAGAAATACTTCTACGATCAGCATGCCAAACCAATAGAACCACTAACAACGGGAGAGAGAGTTGGGATTAAAGACCAGAAGACAGGCATTTGGGTCCCAGCGACAGTAACGGAACAACTTGAACAACCTCGTTCCTACAAAGTGGAAAGTGAAGGAGTGGAATATCGACGAAACCGTCGAGACCTACTGAAGTTCCCTGAAAAGTCTCAGAATCTAGAAACGTCACTGAAGGTTCTACCAGCTTCGAGCGACAAACCAGAACCCACTATTGCAAAGCCCATTACTGCAACCAAAGACGTAACTATGACAAGGTCTGGCCGAGTTGTAAAACCACCAGACCGATTTGTGTAAATACTAGGGACATTTTTAGCAGTTATAAGGACATTGAAACATTGAACATGTGCTCAGTTTATTTAGTTTATTGGTAGTAGATATATACAAATACATGTATAAAAAATTAAAAACAAAACAAACAAAAAAAAAAACCAGTGGAAAAAGGGGGATGTCGTGATCATTGACTCATTGCGTGACTCGGTAACGCAATCATTGTAATCATGTATATAATAGAGTGATTTGTCTAATAAACACAGTTGAATCTAGAATCAGGACTGAACATAACAGTTCACACGTAGTTTTTCTTGCGTTTGCGTTTGCGCTTGCGTCTGCGTTTGCGTTGCTCGTGTGAACCAGGCTTAACTAATGACTAAAATAAAGCGGTGGCGCATTTTGTCACGTGAATGGGCGTTGATTAAGGAAATGAAACTAACAAATCAGGAAAGCAGATTATGTAAAGAGTAACTAATTACTAAATAGAAAGAGCATTGTTCTGGAGTCCTTTACAGACTTGGCTTTGATTTGGAAGCAGTATTGAAAGAAAAGCCTGGTTCACACGAGCAACGCAAACGCAAACGCAAACGCAAGCAATGTTCACACGTACAACGCAAATGCAAGGAAATTAAGATACGCATGCGCAGTAGTGCTTGTTTATAGTTCACACGTATTTTCCTTGCGTTTGCGTTTGCGTTTGCGTTGCTCGTGTGAACCACGTCTTGCGTTTGTGCTTGCGTTTGCGTTTTCTCCGGTTCACACGTTAAAAACGCAAACGCAAACGCAAGCACAGGAAAATGGAAAATTTTCCATTCCTTGCGTTTGCGTTTGCGTTTGCGTTTGCGTTTGCGCTTGCGCTTGCGCTTGCGCTTGCGCTTGCGTTTGCGTTTGCGTTGCTCGTGTGAACCAGGCTAAACGAATCATTCGTGCAGTGGTATCGGACATGGAGTAAATCTAGTGTACAAGTTTAATCTTAAGCAGTTTCTTTTATAAATGGCTGATGCATTTGTGTTGGTCTGATACAGAAAACAAGCTGAACTTCGAAGCTACGGACGATCATTAACGCGGAAGTGAAGTTTATCACTTCATGTGGAATAAATCTTGGGATTGAATCATTAAGGTAAACTACATAAAAAACAAGTCGAAATTCTAAAGGACATGTAAGATTAAGATAGTTTTAAACCTGCTATTGATTTTGAATTGACGAGGTTCGTTTTTTCTAGGTATTGAAAGTGTAGAACAGTTGCAGCGTTCTTGCTAACGTAGGAATCACACAGAAGTACCAGAACGAGCACCGTTACACAGGTAGGGGTATTTTAACTGCAAGTGAATTATTGAAATCATATTTATTGAAAGTGTGGACGCATAACGATGGGAATTTATGTTGAAATTGAGAAATTTGAGCGCTAATAAACTGTTTGGTGTGGCTTCACGTCTGTAAACGAAGACTATACCTTTTGATCCCTTAGTGTGACGTCACTTCATTGATTGACGGCTCTCCGTCAATGTCAAAGACTGTTAGACGTGTGTAGACTGTGACAAGCTGCTGTGCATAACATAAATAGCCCCAACGAAGAACAAAAACATTAGGTGGGATATAGCTTAGTCTACCTCGCATCCGTTTTTAGTGTCGGTCGTCACGCAACGCTCTGGAGGAGCGTTGCGTGACGACCGACACTAAAAACGGATGCGAGGGAGACTAGATATAGCTTATCTCTGTATAGTATATTCTAAAAACGATTTACTTGAAGATTTACTTGAAGATTTACTTAGGAAAATGCTCGTAGGATAATGAAATAAGAATTATTTAGATTCCAAGCAGTTTAGCTGAGTTGATAGCTGAGTATTGTTTTACCGATATTGAACTGCTTTGTTCGCTTATATGTGTGTGTTTTCTGTCTGAACAATCCTATGTTTTAGTGTTCTAATAAATAAATATCAAGCTTGGTAATTTTGAATTTTATGCACTTATTTATAAAATATTTCTTAAATTTATGATATGCGCTGGGTTATGTTTAATTTTTTTGTATTTATAGATTGATTGTTGTGGAGTGTGGGATGTAAACCTTGCATGTTCAAAGTTCAAGGAAATCTCAAGAAATATGGGGGGGGGGTGGGGGGGAGATTTCTCGTTGCACTCGTGGTTCCACTTGAGTTTTGAACATTTTAAGATGCATCTGTGATCAATAAGAGGACAGTCAGTGAAAATCTATGAGCGATTTCTTAAATTACGTAATTATTTTCAGTCACTTGTAACGTAACAGTCAATTTCAAGGGTGACAATATACCCCTCCCTTTCCCTCCGGACAAACCCTGGGCATTTGTTTTAGGCACTTGTCTGCCCCGGGGGGGTACTCTTGCCCGTTTAGGGTAGGGATGTGCCGCTGAGCCCTCTGAACCCTGGCCCTGTTCCAGAGTAAAATCGCTGAAATTCATACCCTGTTCCAGAGCAAGATAGCTGAAAACCTTAACCTTTTCCGGTAGTGCGAAAATAGATACTCTGTTCCAGAGAGGAGAGAGCGTGATTTCATRTACCCTATTCCAGAGCGATTACGATTTTATATACCCTGTTCCAGAGTAGAATCGCTGAAAACCATACCCTTTTTAGCGGCACGTACACGTATAGCGAATATAGAGGAGTACCCCCCCCCCCCCGGGTTGTCTACATAGTCAAGTATTTGATAAAAAACGAAGTGTGACACGTACGCGTCAGGCATTTGCAGAACAATAAATTTCTGTTCAGTAGCCAACAATTTAAAAAAATCATGATGGGCGCCCTTGGAATTGACTGATACATAATAAAATAAAAAATTGGAACATATCTTTTTATGCTTCTTATGTTTATTTAGTGTAAATTCTGACGAAATGAGAGTGCTTTTCCACCGAGATGACACCTAAACAAAGACAAGACCTTATCTAAAAGACTTATGGTCTACCTGTGTAGTGACGGCCGGGAACTAATCTACTCGTTGGAACATGGTGGGGTATACACCCTTTTAATAAGTCGCGGCGCCATATTGAATAAATTATCGATGACGTCAATGGCGGAAAGACTCGCCCTAGCCGCTCCAGTGTTTTCCCGCCATTCGGAAGTCAAAATGGACGGGGAAGACGAATCCGACAGAACTAACTCCCAAATTGCTTGTATTTGTGAACAGGTATGCTGACTTAATAAAACATTTACTTTAATTTGCTTTCATTTTATTTGGAACGCTGTCATCAATCAAACCTTTTGCCGGCAAACTAATTGCAACTTGTTACTACAGCTCACTTGCGAGGATATACCAGGTGCTTCGTTGGTATTAGAAAAGCTTGAAAAATATAAGAAATGAGCTCATATTTTGGTTAAAGTGCCGTGAAATAAAGAGAAAGTCAGCTGCGACAAAAGCCGAGCTAATTTCAAAGTAAGTATCTGATAGAATTTCGATTGTTTGCACGCAAAGGCAATCTTGCTTATTTAAAGTACATGTTTAACGTGGAGCGGAAGTAAATGCGATTTTATTGTCAAATAATACATTTATTACACCTTGTTTCATTAGGGTAAGGCACAACTTCGATATTCAGCACCAAATTGTCGACCCTGCTACACGAGAGCAAAAAGAATGAAATGCGACAATATTGCCCTGATCAGGAACGCGAAGCAGCAAGCACAGAAGTCAGCCAAGCTTCACAGTCAGTCTCAGATATAATKGAAAACTGGAGTTCAAACACATCTTATCTACCAAAGAAGTTTTCATATATCAACATTTTTAATCATGCAAAAAAAAAGTGGAAGGAATTCCAATAGTTATGTGGAAAAACCCCTTGAAAAAGGTTACAAGTTTTTTTATGAGAATTTTGTGCATGATGTGTTAGGCTTTGCCTCAGGAAATGAAGTCCACATTAAAGGCAAATGCTATCATTCACAGAGAAAAGTTTTGGAGCCAAGCAGAGTTGTAGTGAAGTTATCAATGGATGGCAATGTAATTAATGGCAAATGTTCTTGTCCAGCTGGTGCTAATGGATATTGTAATCATACAATGGCACTATTATATCTGATTGATCACACAATAAAAATAAAAGCTAAAAGTTTTCCTKTAGTTGGGACATGCACAGACAACCCACAGCAATGGCATAAACCCAGGGAATTCATCCCGACCCTATTATGGGTTACACAGTAACAAACCCAAAGTATAATGCAAAAAGGCCAGGAGGAGTTAAATGTACCCTTTATGAGGCAAGACAGCCTGCCATTAGAAACTATGATGGGGCAATTGAATTACAGAACAATCTTGCAAAAATAAACCCTGCTTTGGGATTCTGTACTGTGTTTTCTGATAACCCATCCACAGAGCAAATAACATTAAATGAGTCAAAGGTTCCTGTTGGAAGTGTTTTAAGCTACCAACTCTCTTTGACTGAAGGAAACTTCCAAGTTATAACCAATTTCCCTCCCCTAGTTATTATACCAGGTACATCTATACAAGGAGATACCTTCCCAAGTTTGCCCTATGATAAAGAAGTGAAAACAGTTGGATTACAAATGCCTCTTAATTTTGAGGAGAGTCAATTTATTGATAGCTTACAAGTCATCAACCCTTCTGATATTGAACTGCAAAACACTAGGGGACAGAGTGACAACTCACTTTGGTTTAATGCAAGAAAAAACAACTAGCAGTAATTTTGGACAAGAGAAAATCTGGCATTTGTCAAAAGAAATTTGTCGACACTCTTTTATCACATAAAGATCTATCAAATGTAACATCTATAAAGTATGGCAAAGACAATGAAGCTAAAGCCGCAGATAAATATGTTAATTACATGAAAGCATCAGGAAATCCAGTTAAGATTTCAGAGAGTGGTGTTATTGTATCTCAACATATGCCCTGGTTGGCTGCAACTCCTGATCGAAAAGTGATTGACAAAGGTTATGGCTTAGTGGAAATCAAATGCCCTTATACATTAAGAAATCTTACTCCAGAGATGGCATGTAAAGAGCCCACTTTTTATTGATCTAATCAATGGAAAGCCAAAACTCCAACGAAGTCATATTTACTATTACCAAATACAAGGTCAACTTGGTATATGTGGCTTAAAATGGTGCGACTTTGTTTGCTTCTTTAATAAAGGCCTTATCATTGAGCGCATACAGTTTGATGAACATTTCTGGGAAGCAATGATTACCAAGTTGACAGCCTATTATCAGCAACATATCATGCAAAGTGCCATGAAGCTTTAGAGTTTTGACTTCTTAATCTATCAAAGAGATAGAACAAAAGAGATGGAATTAGTTATATATGTCTATGTACATTTGTGACAGGGTTCCCAAGGGTCAGGGAAAAGCACAGTCAGGGAAAAACACAGTCAGGGAAAAGTCAGGGAATCTTTTATTTAGTCAGGGAAATTGCGATTTTCACCTAAAGTCAGGGAAAAGTCAGGGAATTTTGTTTAAAGTTAACCATGAGTGTCTGTGTGATACTCATACTGTTTGCAATTTTCAGATAGACTGATAAATCCTTTCGAATAATGAAAAAAAATATTGAAGTATTTAGTATCAGTTATGCTAGACAGTTTAATTGCGTTGGGTATCCTGTGTAATATGAGTAGTATAGGGGATGGGGGTTCCAGCGCAACGACCACCGGAGGATTACCCGTCTAAAGTACCCCCCTCGATTCGTACCGCGATTACCCGCATCCCGTGT